CCGCGGTCGTCGATACTGCTCTTGTTCGCCCAGTGTCAGTTGGCGCGACCCCGAACGAAAGTGAGAGCGATTCGTCGTCGAAGGGGAGAAAGTCGGGCGGCGCGCAAACTCGGTCGCCGCGGCTCTCCCTTCGCCATCAGGAGGGACAATCCCAACAATCCTACGACGAACGCGACTTCGAATCCGTGAGAACGAAGTAGTTATCTCCGGTCGAGAGCGAGGTGCGGGAGAAGACGCGCTCTCACCGTGTAAACCGACCAACTAATTCTCGAATCGAGTCTTTTGAATAAGTTACGAAGGGACAAGGGAGGGAGGGGGTTATTGTGCATCGTTGATACACGGTTCGACGGATCGATGCATCCTCGAGGCAGCCTATCGCGCAGCCGATGCTTCTCAATGAAAAGCAGTGACGAATGGTTCTCGGGAGGAGAGACTGAACGAGCCGAGCGACCACCGCTGAGCGGGAAGCTTCGCTCTTTGTTCGAAGAAGACGTTTGAATAAAAACCGGAAGTGTCTCGATATCCGCACATTTCTTAACGGATATTCTTAAGTGACCGTGAAGAAAATTTTTTTTAGAAATTATAACAGAATAGTAAGTTTTAAGATGTTTTGGTATCGAGAGAGAGGATCGATTGTAAATGAATTAGAGATCCGTTTTTTGAGAAATTTCCAAAGAGATATCTCGCCTCTTTGTCTCGATTCGAACGAGTTTTTAAGTTTGAAATTTCTCCGAAGAGTGTGTTTATTATGTTGGCGGAAATCCGCTTGTTTATCGGTGTTGATAAATCGTGCAATGCGTTTCATTGACGAGACGGGAAATTGAATCTGGAATCTAGAACGTGTTTAGAAAGGGAAACAGAGTTGGAAGTAATCCTGTTGTGTATTGGCGCGCGGGTACACGAGGTCGGGTGGTGGTCACACGATAGCAAGACCAGATCCGTTCTTCCTCGAGCCTAACGTGGCTAACGTTACCGCGCGATCTTAATGGATATTCAAGTTTCTTGACTGGTCTGTACAAACCCTGTGGGAAGCGAGACTTCCTGTGCCCGGAAGCTGTCGTCGGAAAGAATAGGATCTTAGCACATCCTGACGCGTGGGCAAACGTTGAGTCGAATATAGTGGATGGTATAATTCTACATTTTGCGAATCATTTGAATCGATCTGTTCATTCGAAACTTTTTCATAATGTTAAATCGGTAAAGAAATTTTTCGAAAGCGTATACGATCTCGTATCGTATATTCGAATTCTTTCAGCGTGCGTACACTTTAGTCTCTCTGATAATAGTCTTTTATCAACGAGATAAAATTGACGCAAGCAAGGTCTGATGAAAACAAGAGTTTAACTCGTTATAACTTAACCCTTTCAACGTTGAGTATTCTTATACGTGCCATGTGCTTGTTGTTTTTCACCAGACGTTTCTCGGTCGATAAAAAAGAATTTTTGTTTCCAAGAAAATTAACTTCCGAGAAATTAAG